TTTGATTTACAGCTTTGAGCTTCAAAATTTGGTTTTCATGGTATTATTGAGGTAGAGAGGTATTTCTGTCATTTTTTAGTTAAGTAGGCTTGATTATATGCTGCCCAGACAAATGATTACTTCATTAGGGTGACTGTGCAGTTAATTTTCTCATTTCTTTTGTTACATACGTAAGATGTCCTCAATGCAGCCATTCTTTATAAAATCATAGATAACATGATGGGAACAAATTTAGCTGTTTGTTAATACACGAAAGGCGTCTTCTTAAATAAAGTTCTAAACATTCCATTCGAGATTAGTGTAAATAGTGGTTGACATTCAGTTTTCAGAGTCCATTGAGTATGGAGAAAGAAGGGAGACCATTTTTGACAAGTGTGTCCTTAACTCTGAAATGTAAAATAATTTAACATAGTATTGTATTGGTTGTACTCTCAAAACTGTCAAGTGATTGACAGTTAAGTTATAGTGTTATTGTGGCTGTACACTGTGCACATTGTAAGATTTTAACTAAATCCGCTAATTTTTAAATATTGAGTCAGTAAGGCTGACTTTTCATAAGGCTGATAAGTTTTTTTTTTAAGCGCTCAGTTTTGCAACTGTACATGATGAACTGAACTAATTTATAGTTATTTAAATTAGAAAAAAAACGGAACCCTTTTGAGCCTTGTGATGTCAATAAAGGAAAGAGAGATAGATCAACTTTATTTTAACACGCTAGCCTGTAATCAACATAATAAAAAGCTGGTTTCCAGTAGTGGCGTGAACTAAGTATAAAAGTTCAAAACTGCTTAAAATATTCATAAAAAATATCCCTAAGAAATGATTGAAAATCAATATGTCACATTTGGTCTATATGTTGAAATAAGCTCATCAAACGTAGTCAAAGTTTCAGCACAACTACGTATGTCATTCCGTCTAAAGAATTCCAGATCTTAGCACCATTATAGCTGCAACTCTTCTTTAAAAATTCAATCTTGGGCAACGGAACGGCCAACTAATTATCAGCGTTCCTTAAATGATTATTGTTGGCCGAGCGTGAGTCTCTGAAAATATTCGAAAGCCTTACAGGTGCCAAGTTATGGAGAAACTCAAACATTTGTCAAGCCTTGATGTGAATTCTACGTTCGCGCAGTAAACTCCAGCCAAGATGACGTAGTGCTAATTCAGACTGTCCAGCCTCGTTTTTGTAACGCATAATTACACTAGCACATC